GGGCAGACGCCAGGGCCCGGACGCCCCAGCGCCCCCGGTCAGCACGGCCACGCGAGGGCGTCGGCGGGAAGATCGCCGTGTGAATGTGGCAAGTGAAGAGTGGTCAGCAGCGGTCAGCTCGAGTATTTATTACGGGGTCATATGTACAGAGGCCAGCGCCGACGTCCAGGACCTCGGCTATTTACAACGGGCGTTTTTACAAAACGGGGCTTTTTACAAGAGGACGCGTGAGGTCAGCACACACCGTGGACGCTCGTTTTATGACACAGATAAATAAGTAGCCATGGCCGTGGCCAGGGCGCCGGGCCCCCCGCGCCTGCTAACTCGCCGGCGGCCAGAGACACCGGTCAGTCCCTCTGCGGGTCCCCTCGGCCGCCGCTGGGGACGACCGAGTGCGGGCAGCAGCTGCCGGTGACCCCGAGGTGCCCACTGTAGGTGGGACAGCTTGGCCCGCGTGGCAGGGACACCTGTGGTCTGGACGTCCCCTCGGGACCGGGGAGGCCGGGGGCTGGCCGGCGCCCAGGGGGCGCTCAGGGCTCGCCGATTCTCGGGGAGACGCCTTGTCCCCCGGGGGGCAGCTGGAACGGAGGGCATCGGGCTGCCCTGGAGGGTGGCACAGGCACGTGGCACCGAGGTGGCCACCCCCACGCGGCGCCGAGGCCCAGGGCCTGGCCGCGGGCGGGGTCCGGCACACGGAGGAGCTGCTGACCTCGAGGTGTGCGGAACTCCTGTCCTGAACCTCACCATCCTCTCTGCGGGACACGTGAAACGGGGTGCCGCGGAGAGGGGGTTATTCCTCGACACAAGTCGCCCAGAGTCCGCGAGAGTGACCAGAGGGTGCCCGGTCACTCCGAAAGGCAGGACGGGGAGGCGGCGACATCGCCGGGGTGGGGAACCAGCTCTGTCCCGGGCAGAGCTTTGCACCGGGCAGCGGCGAAAACCCCGGGCACCGTCTTTGGAACGCACGGGCCTAAGGCCGCTGGACGCTCCGAGTGGACCTGGGAAAGAAAATGACCCGCGGGAGGGAAGACGGTGAGCAACAGGTCCGGGCCGTGGACACCAGCGGGCAGGTCCCCACCGCCCCCGAGACCGCAGGGACGAGGCGTCTCCGGGAGGCACCGAGGCTGCGGTCACTTCCCAGGGGCCCTGCCGAGCTGCCGGGCGGGCGTGGTCCTCGGAGACGCTCACGCGTGGCGGAGGCCACGGCCGGTCAGTATCTGTCCGGAGCAGGCTGGTAGTGATGTGGGTGCTGGTGCTTGAGGTGGGGTCCTAGGGAGAGACAGCGGTCAGCCACGTGGCTCCCGGCGGCCCCCCGCCCGTCCCCGGCCGGGCTGCATCTGTGCCGTCTCTGCGTCCAATGACACTTAGGCACCCGGGTTCTGCCATGGACGTCTGGAACGTCCAGACGGGCCGTGAGGTCAGAGATGGCCCCCGTCCACCCCCGTGGCCACTTCCAAGTCCAGATGTGAGCGAGTCCTCAGTGCACATAGGCACTGGACTTCAAAGACTGTCCGGTTGGCCAAGTGCCCGCAAGTTGGTGACCGGGGTAAAAAGAGGCGGTCCACAGACGCGGTGGAATATTACGCAGCCGTGAAAAAGGACAAATGCGTGGCTCTGGCAGCCGCATGGAGGGGGCTGGGAGGGGTCGTGGGAGATGAGCCGGAGGGAAGAGGAAAATTCTGGATGGTTCCAGTCACGGCAGGAGCGTAAAGGACCGGGGGGGGGGAGGGAATAATAATAACAATAAACAGTTATATACCAGAGCCACTTTATGGGGGTGCAGTGGGGACTGGGGTCAAAAGCAGTGGGGGGAGGGGAGTGCACGGGACTGTGGTGACGGCACACGGGTGATGTGGTGACGGGAAGCCCCCGGGGGTCACCGCTGAGAAGGAGAAAGGCCCAGAGTGATGGAAAAATAAAGTGGAATATTACGCAGCCATGAAAAGGGCAAACGTGTGCTTTTTGCAGCGACACGGAGGGAGCTGGGAGGGGTCGTGCTGGGGGAGATGAGCCGGAGAGAAAAGGGAAAATGCCGGATGGTTCACTCATGGCAGGAGCATAACGGACAAGGGGGGAAAATAATAATGATAATGATAATAACAATAATAGTAATAATAATGATAATGAACAACTGTAGACCAGAGACATTTTACAAGGGCAGGGTGGGGTGGGGACTGGGAGCAGAAACAGTGGGGGCAGGGGAGTGCACGGGACTGTGGTGACGGCACACGGGTGAACTGGTGACGGGAACCCCCGGGGGTCACCGCTGAGAAGCAGAAGGGCCCAGAGTGATGGAAAAATAAACTATTACATAAAAAGAAAATCAAGGGCTGGTCCCCAGGAACCTATTAAGCAAAATAAAAGACGGTCCGGTTGGCCACTGCCCACAGTACACGACTGGGTTAAATAGAGGTGGAATGTTATACACATATAATATTATACACGGCGGAATATTACGCAGCCATGAAAAAGGGTGAACGTGTGCCTTGGCGGTGACATGGATGGAGCTGGGAGGGGTCGTGCTGGGGGAGATGAGCCGGAGAGAAAAGGGAAAATTCCGGATGGTTCACTCATGGCAGGAGCATAAAGGAGTGGGGGGGGAATAATAATAATAATGATAATAATAATAGCAATCAGCCGTAGACCAGAGAAATAATAATAATAATGATAATAATAATAATAATGATAATAATAATAGCAATCAGCCGTAGACCAGAGAAATAATAATAATAATAATAATAATAATAATGATAATAATAATAGTAATAGCAATCAGCCGTAGACCAAAGAAATAATAATGATAATAATGATGATAATGATAATAATAATAATAACAATAATAATCAGAGACATTTTGCACGGGCAGGGTGGGGTGGGGACTGGGAGCCAAACCAGGGCGCAGGGGAGAGCACGGGACTGTGGTGACGGGAAGCCCCCGGGGTCACCGCTGAGAAGCAGAAAGGCCCAGAGTGACGGAAGCACAAACTATGACGTCAAACAAGAAACAAACCACCCAGGGCTGGTCCCCAAGCACCTATTACACAGAATCAATCCAAGACTGTGCGGCTGGCCTGGACAGCGCGGGAGGGGCGCAGCGGGCAGGGC